TGATCTCAGCTCACTGCAACCTCCGCCTCCCAGGTTCAAGTGATTCTCCTGCCTCAGCCTCCCAAGTAGCTGAAACTACAGGCGTGCACTACCATTCCTGGCTAATTTTTGTATTTTCAGTAGAAACGGGGTTTCGCCATGTTGGCCAGTCTGGTCTCAAATTCCTGAACTCCAGTGATCCGCCCGCCTCAGCCTCCCAAAGTGTTGGGATTACAGGCATGAGTCACTACACCTGGCCAGTATTTTTAATATATAAAAGAAATGACAAATTATAGCTTTCTAAGGCCCACTGTTAGAAATAAAGATTAAAAGCCCTGAGACCATTTGTCAAATTCCTCACCTTAGTTAACCATTAGAAACACGATGCCTGTGCATTGGCACAGCAGTCACCTTGCTGCCATTTTATTCTTATGTTTAGCGAGACTGGTGGGCTACTTCTAGCTTTTTGTTGTTTGTTTTATTTTTAATTTATTGTGAAATTTTTGTATAGCTACACAAAGATTTAAATAAAACTGTAATACATACTTGTGTGCTCAACACCCAACTGTGGGCCCTTTCTGATTTGATCTATCTTCCATTCATTTCAGATGTAGCTGTTACCTTGATGTTGTGACATTTGTCGTTCTTACACATTTCTTCATATTTGGGCGTTTCTTTTTTTTTTTTCCCGAGACAGAGTCTCACTCTGTTGCCCAGGCTGGAGTGTAATGGCGCAATGTCGGCTCACTGCAACCTCTGCCTCCCAGGTTCAAGCAGTTCTCCTGCCTCAGCCTCCCAAGTAGCTGGGATTACAGGCGTGCACCACCACGCCCAACTAATTTTCATATTTTTGGTAGAGATGGTGTTTCGCCATATTGGCCAGGCTGGTCTTGAACTCCTGACCTCAAGTGATCCACCCACCTCAGCCTCCCAAAGTGCTGGGATTACAGGTGTGAGCCACAGTGTCCAGCCATTGGACAAGGCCCTCAAACCTTGTTTTTCTACCATCTTCTGGTGTCTAAGGCACAAGAATTTCCCTGAAGCAAAGTTGTGCCTAAGAGCTCAGCATTCTCTTCCGGTTTTGCTAACCCCTCTATTTCTTAGGGGGTCCTAAAGTTCCCCATAGGGATTTTTTTTCTTAGATATCTAAGAGAGAAAAGTGGGAATTCCAGGTAGATTCCAAACAAGCAGGAAATGGTTTCTATTAATGGAATCTAGAATGAGCAGAGCTGCCTACGCACTGACAATTTCAGGTACTCAGTGGCTTCAGAGGGATTTCACTTCCACTTCAGGGCAGAAGTTATCCAATGTGACAGGTAAAGGTTCAAGCTCTGGGGCCACCTTGCTGGGGCTGAATCCCAGCTCCTCTACATGTGATCTGAGTGACTTTGAGACTCAGTGTTTTGTCTGTAAAATGAGGATAATAATAACTAACCTACTGCAAAGAGCTATAGAAGTAAGTGGACCCATTCATGTAAAGCTCTTAGAATAGTGCCAGGCACATAGAAGGGACTCAGTAAATGTTAGTTTTTACTAGGAACAAGCATAATACCTCTGGGAATTGCACTGTACCAGTCTTTATTTACAGGAAACTCAAGGGAGTTTGTATCTTGTTTTTACTCTGTGTTTTTGTGGGAGGGTAGCTGTGGATGCAGGCCTTGTAGTCTTTGCTTCTTACAGAACTCTTATTCTTATAGTAAAAGCCTTCATGAATCATGCACCTGTATGTTTCTGTCATTAATACTTTGTGTCAGATCCCTAGCGAATATGGAGTTGGCTCTGCTAAGTTTCCCATTTCCATTTTCCAGAACTGCCTACCTCATCCTTGCCCACATTTGTGGTATTATGAAGATGGCAATTATTAAATATGAAAGGAAAAACTTGGCTTTCTTTACTTATTTTTGTGAAGGAACTGCCTAAGTTCTATTGTTAAATCAATAGGAAATGAAAAGAGAAAATACCAGGTTTCATTTCCATAATGATAAAGACATTTTATTTTATTTTTTTCTCCGCCGCCTGATAAAGACATTTTAAAAACCAACACAAATGCACACAGAAAACTAAGATGAATTGATGGATAGAGGTTGGAATGGGTGTCCATGAGCTTCTCTATATGCTTGAAATTTTTCAAAATGTGGAAAGTGAAAGCAATGCTGTTTCCTTCACAAGTGCCCATTTGCTTTCTGGACAGGTGTGTCAGTACCTCTGCAGCTGGGCCTGCCTGACACACTGCCCCCCCAATACGGGGCGCTGAGAGAAGTCAGCATTCACACGGTGCGGGCCAGGCTCCGGCTGCTTTACCACTTCTCTGACCTCATGTACTCGTCCTGGAGACTGCTGAACCTTAGCCCCAACAACCAGGTAACAGACTGGCGTGGTAAGCAGTGCCCATGACATGCTCACCAGGCCCCAGGGCTTTTCCCTCTGCCTTTGGAAAATGCTTTCATGGCTAATAAGATAACAATTCTATTCCCATTTTATTGCTGTGTTAGGGACAGTCTAGAGTTTGGTCATGATGCTGCTAGACACAGAGTGGTCTTCCCTCTGTGTTTTGGTTTGTTCAAAAATCGAGTAGAATGGCTAAGCATACCATTTCTTTTTTTGAGATGGAGTCTCGCTCTGTCGCCCAGGTTGGAGTGTAGTGGCACAATCTCGGCTCACTGCAACCTCTGCCTCTCAGGTTCAAGCAATTCTCCTGCCTCGGCCTCCTGAGTAGCTGGAATTACAGGCCTGCGCCACCATGCCTGGCTAATTTTTGTATTTTTAGTAGAGACGAGGTTTCAGCCTATTAGTCAGGCTGGTCTCGAACTCCTGACTTCAAGTGATCCCCCCACCTCCACCTCTCAAATTGCTGGGATTACAGGTGTGAGCCACCGCACTCAGCCACTAAGCGTGCCATTTCTGCAAAGTCTAGAATATGATTTTAAAATGTAAGCACACAAAGCTATTAGAACCACAGTCAGGGTTGTTACATAAATGAATCTGAGAAGTTTCAGATACTTTTTTCTCTTCTTACAAATTAGCATTCTGGGTCCTGGGGAAAGGGAGGTCAGGGAAATAAAGTAAATATTGCTGATTTGTCTCTTTATGGACTAGTCTAGTAACAAAGTGGCTAGCTGTCGTGTGTGCGTGTGTGCGCGCGCGCGCGCGTGTGTGTGTGTGTGATTTGACAAATAGGTAGCCAGGCAGCAGAGTCCTGTGCAGCACTAAACAGAGTGTTAGCACACTGTAATTCGTGGGAGAAATGTTTATAGTGTAAAGTGAATTGAGAAAGGCAGCTCAAAATGATAACAGTGTGAGAAACGTTGTGTATACATACACAGAAAAGAACTGGAAGGAAATAGATGAAATTACCAATGGGGCATCTCTATATGGTAGGATTTGGAATCACTTAATTTGCGTATACATGTGTGTATCCTTCTCTGTATTTTCTAAGGTTTTTAAAAATAGTAATTATATATTTTATCAGAAAAAAAAATTTTAAAGGTTACTAATAGTTACTAATCCTGAGTTTGAGTTTATGCTCTTAAAGTGCATTTTTAAAAGAATGTATGTTCTGTTTTTCAATTTTTAAAATAATATTGAGACAGGGTCTCACTGTGTGCCCAGGCTGGAGTGCAGTAGTGTGATCTCAGCTCACTGCAGCCTCAGTCTCCTTGGACTCAGGTGATCCACCCACCTCAGCTTCCCAAGTAGCTGAGAGTACAGGCACATGCCACCATGCCCAGCTAATTTTTATGTTTTTGTAGAGATGGGTTTTGCCATGTTGCCCAGGCTAGTCTTGAACTCCTGGGCTCAAGTGATCCGCCCACCATAGCCTCCCAAAGTGCTGGGACTACAGGCATGAGCCGCTGCACCCAGCCAAAATAATGTATGTTCTACAAGTGAAAATTGTTATTTCTTTTAAGCCTAGATTATACCATTTCTGATACCTGTACCTTCTGTTACAGAACAGCACATCCCATTATAATGCTGGAACTTGGGGCATTGTACAGGGACAACTTCGGCCTTTGTTAGCCCCAAGAGTCTACACTCTGCCAATGGTGCGCTCCATAGGAAAAACCATGGTTCAAGGCAAAAACTATGGACCTCAGATAACTGTAAAGAGAATATCAACCAGGTTAGCATATGTATGTATGTTTCACTAACGAGTGGGATTTTTTCAGATGGATGTTATTACTAATTTCTGTGAATCTTAGTTTACTCACTTCTAAGGCAGGGTAGATAGTAATAGTACTTACATTAGTACCCAGTGTGGTTACAGTGGGCCTAGCACAGTGTTTGGCTGTTAAACTAGCTTTTTCACTCACTGATGGGAAGATGTCATGTGATTTTGGGGAAATTGGTAAGAGTTGTATTTCATTACTTTCTCTCTTTCTTTTAAAGAGGACGGAAGTGTAAGCCCATTTTTGTCCAAATAGCGAGACAAGTAGTTAAGCTGAATGCATCAGACCTCCGTCTGCCTTCCCGAGCGTGGAAGGTTAAGCTGGTTGGAGAAGGGGCTGATGATGCTGGAGGAGTGTTTGATGACACCATCACAGAGATGTGCCAGGTATATTCCTGCAGTGTCCCCTGCTGAGTTACCTAGTCTGCTACTGGCCATTTTGCTGTTTCCAGTGATCACTCTGCCAGGCTTGTTTTCATAAATGTAGCAAGGATGCATTTGTGAGCCTCATATAAAGTCATGCTGTTAGTGATACGTAGGCAAATTAGAGCAACAGTTTTTGAAATGCTTTGTCAAGATACCTTACTACATAAATATCAGTTCTTAGGCATCTACCAGTGACTCACCATCTGTTGTGTTATAATATTGGCAGAACAAATAGCAATGGCATATATGTACATTTACGTAACAGACAAATCCAGGAGCACCCATGTGCTCTGATTTATTCCGGTGCTTTTAGAACAAAGTAGAACTGCGAGATTCCAGGGGAGTTAGAAAAATAAATGTTAAGAACTGGTCTTAAAATTAGACCAGTTCTAATTTTAAGATCTGCATTGGCAGCTTTGCTTCCAGATCAGCTCTGTCCTTTCCAGCATTGCCTAGTATCAGGATTTTTCCAGTAAACCCTGTGACTAAAATAATGCTTGACTATCATTATTGAATCTATTTGAAACATCACTACACTCTTTTCATAGCAACCACTACTCCTGCCCTGGATTGACTTTCTCATTCCTTTTGGTTCTTCATACATGAGTGCTTTCCATAAGGGGGATTTCCTAATCTCATTTTAAATTGAAACCACGAAAATGAAGTGTGAAATCATCAGTTGTCACACGGCATTATAAATTCCTCAAAATACACTCTTTTTAGTATGATCTTTAATGTAATTGGTTTGTTCTCTTCATGCATTTGATTGTCATTTCTCAAAAAAGTTTCTCTTTCTTCTACAGGAACTTGAAACTGGTATTGTTGACCTTCTTATACCCTCTCCCAATGCCACTGCAGAAGTGGGTTACAATAGGGACAGGTATGCAGTCAGCAATGTTCATTATATGTCTAAAATAATAATAATAGCTCACGTTTATTGAGTACTTACTATGTACCAGGCACTGTTTTAAGTGCTTTACACCTATTATCCCCTTCAGTCCTCATTATAACCCTAAGGAGTAAATATTATTGTTATCCTCTTGTCAAAGATGAGGAAACAGGCCAGGCGCAGTGGCTAACGCCTATAATCCGAGCACTTTGGGAGGCCGAGGCGGGTGGATCACCTGATGTCAGGAGTTTAAGACCAGCCTGGCCAACATGGTGAAACCCCGTCTCTATAAAAAATATAAAAATTAGCTGGGCATGGTGGCACATGCCTGTAATCCCAGCTACTTGGGAGGCTGAGGCAGGAGAATCACTTAATTTGAACCCAGGAAGTGGAGGCTGCAGGGAGCTGAGATCGTGCCACTGCACTCTGGCCTGGGCAACAGAGCGAGACCCCATCTCAAAAAAAAAGGGAAACAGGCGCATCCTTCAAGACTTGGTATTTATTGAGACCAAATCAATGATAACATAGAGGGGGAGAGGAAGCTCAGACTTGATCATGAAACCTGATTTATGTTTCTGAAGGCCCACATGGCCTCCCCATAATGAATTTTCTACACCAAAATTTGTTTAAAAGTTTTATTATGCTAGCAAGTCACAAAAGTTAGTATTTGCAATTACATATTATCTTTATATTTGCAAAATTTTGAATTTTGGATCCTGTTTCATGGACTTGTAAATTAAAAACAGAATGATTTTAGAAAACAGGGCATTCTGGAGCAGGTAGCTTAAGATCCTTACATAGTTCTTCTAAAAATAGTTCAGAATACAGTCCATGTGCTGTGTGAAACAGTAACTACATGTGGTCCACATGTGGCTTTTGAGAACTCAACATGTGATTAGGGAAGCTGAAGAACTGAATTTTTAGTTTTATTTAATTACTTTAGCCTCATGTGGCTAATGGATGCCATATTGAACAGTACAGGTATAGACTAACGCTATAGCTGTCGTTGCTAACTTATTTCTAACAGAAATGAGGAAAATACTGTTTGAAATATTCCCTTTAATTTTGCAGGTTCCTTTTTAACCCTTCTGCCTGCCTCGATGAACACTTAATGCAGTTTAAGTTTTTAGGAATTTTAATGGGGGTTGCCATTCGCACAAAGAAGCCTCTGGACCTTCACTTGGCCCCTCTGGTGTGGAAGCAGCTGTGCTGTGTCCCACTCACCTTAGAGGACCTGGAGGAGGTGGATCTGCTCTACGTGCAGACTCTCAACAGCATTCTTCACATTGAAGACAGTGGGATTACCGAGGAGAGTTTCCATGAGGTAAATCCTGGCCAGTCTCTGTTTCTACTGGTGTTGACTTCCTATATGCACAGACTAGAATTTTTCTGTGTAAAATTGAGATATAGTCTTCCACTTGCTGTCTGGCTGAACCATGCCATATCTATGCCATTGCTGCCCTTAGCAGCTCAACCCCAGCAGTTTAAACAGCTTCTGATAGATAGAGCAGGCTCCTGGCCTTAGCTGCTCCTTCCCCCTTAATTTTTTTCTGCCTGTTAGCGTGAAGAACCAAAGTGGAAAGGGAGGCCTGGGGTCACCAGAGTTCAACAGGCCTGGTTTGGGAACAGAGAGATTTGGTCCCATTTTTAACTACAGCTGGTTGAGTGATCACGTTGCTGCTGATCAAGTAGCCGGATCAGTCCTACCTGTCTTGTTTTCCTTGTTTTTATCCTTAAAAATTGTGAGTTTGTTATTGCTGTGCCATATTTGTATGTAAAATACTTTTTGCTGTCATTTCTACCTTGTAATAAAGATTCTTTCTTCTTCTGTTCCTAGATGATTCCTCTTGATTCTTTTGTTGGCCAAAGTGCTGATGGCAAAATGGTTCCTATAATCCCTGGCGGAAATAGTATCCCACTCACATTTTCCAATAGGAAGGAATATGTGGAGAGGGCCATTGAATATCGACTTCATGAGATGGACAGACAGGTAAGATGAAACTTAACAGGAGGTACACATGAATGCTTGGGTTTCTTTCCAAATGAGAGCTGACTGGTTATGCCAAAATCTGATATGTATTTACTGTGTTAATTCCTCTGTATGTATGTATGTATTTATTTATTTATTTTAATTTACTTATTTATTTTTGAGATAGCATCTCACTCTGTCGCCCAGGCTGGAGTGCAGTGGTGCAATCACAGCTCACTGCAGCCTCTGCCTTCTGGATTCAAGTGATTCTCTGGCCTCAGCTTCCCCAGTAGCTGGGACTACAGGCACGTGCCATCACTCCTAGCTAATCTTTTTATTTTTTGGTAGAGACAGGGTTTTGCCATGTTAGCCAGGCTGGTCTCGAACTCCTGGCCTCGAGTGATCCACCTGCCTCAGCCTCCCAAAGTGTTGGGACTATAGGCGTAAGCCACCACACTCAGTGATTCCTTTGTATTTATATTTCAAACCCTATTCAGAGACTTTTCAGGCCTTCTCCTTATCCAGTGCCTTAAATCGGTTCTGAATTGGTCTTTGGTTGGATTGAGACCATTTTCATCTGGCATTCAGACCTTGCCTTCTTACTCCTCCTTAGTCCTGTTTGTCCTCATGTCTTACTGCTTCCCAGCTCAGCTGCTTACTGCTTACTGCTTCCCCCCACTCTAGTTGGGTTAGTCAGGGCCCACGTAAATGAACCCCCAAATGCTGGTCTTACGACCTCACATGCATTTCCCTTTCCCTCTCTTGCTGCTATTCTTTAAACCTCAGCTAAGAGGGCATCTCCTGTACACACAAGCTTTCCTCCAGGTCACCAACCTGTAGAGATCTTTTTCCTTACTTTGAGGTTCATTGAAGTTCCTCAAGATATATCACGTACTTCTATGTTATGGTCTAAGAATTAGGCCCCAGAATTTAGGTCTTGTTTCCTCAGCTTACAAGAAATTGAATGAAGAATGCATTTTCTATTTCATTTGAGTTACCTTGTTATGTGCTGACGGGTAGGTAAGCATTTAATAAATAATGGGAGTGTGAATGAGTGACCACAGAAGTAAATATCATGTCCAAAAATGGTTCTTTTGATAATACAATCATTAATAGCACTTCAACAATACTTTATTTGCAGAATATGTTGGGGTCTTCTCAAGATCTGGACTCAGGCTGTGAAGCTATAGAAGTTTAATAATTGGAAGTATACATATTCCATACCTCTCACTCCCGGCTCCTTCTTAGACTTTGGCTTTGGGCCAAGTCCAGTCAGAAAAATGGTATCTTTAGCCAATGAAGTTGGGTCTTGTCAGTGATGCTGTTTACACAGCCAGGGATTTGTTGTCTCCAGTTCATGGATATTTTTAATCCCCAGAGAATAAATAACTGACTAGAAATGTGTTGATAACCTCCTGCATGCCAGCCATGGTGCCAGGCACTCTTGCCTGCCATTTTTCCCATAGGTACTCTGTGAGGTTAGGATTACCAGCACTGTTTCACAGAAGAAAGCACTGAGTGCCCACGGCAGAGCCAAGACCCCAAACCAGGCTCCAAGATGGTGTCCAGGCTCTTCTGATGACCCTTCTTCTGAGGGTTGGATGGGCACTCCCTTTCCACAGCTGTGCTCTGCTCTGCCCTGGCTTTGTTCTGTTCTCAGTCACAAGCCCTTCTTCCTCTTTCACTTCTTCTTCATCTCTTAGAACTGTTTGTCCCAAAGCTGTCCTCAGTTGTCCCCCTGCCATCTCTAAGCAGCCAGTCCCGTACCTCAGCCTGATTTTTTTTCCAAACAGCTTTTGTTTTGTGTTCCACCAAGCATAACAGCTTGTTTGTTCGTTTTTGTTTTCGGTTGGCAGACTTTGGTGGGATATTGACCTTTACAGTAGAGCCTGCCTTTACTGCCAATCTCTGATCCTTATGGGCCAACCTTAGTGCCAGTTTTTTATTTATTTTTTAAGAGAGGGTCTTGCTCTGTCACCCAGGCTGGAGTGCAGTGGCACAATGATAGCTCACTGCAGCCTTGAACTCTTGGGCTCAAAGGATCTCCTGCCTTAGCCTCCCAAGTAGCTGGGATGACAGGGCAAGCCATTGCACTTGGCCTAGTTTTTTTTAATATAATAAATTTTATTATATATATTTAAGGTGTACAATACGATAATATAGGATATGCATATAGATAGTAAAAAGGTTATTATAGTGAAGCAAATTAACATATCCATCACCTCACGTAGTTACTCACTTCCTTAAGGTATGGTCTCTCTTCAGATTCTCAGACTTTTTACATGGTGGTAGATGGTTTTGAGTTGGCCAGGAGCAAAGAAGTATTTATGAAACCTTGAACAGTGGTGAGTCTGTGCGTAGGATATGCACTACTGTATAATCTTGGAGGAGACATTTTTCTAAACAAGCTGTCAAGGCAGCCCCTGGTTGCACCCCACTTGGCACTCCCCAACTTGCCTGTGCCCAGCACTATGATGCTAAGAGAACAGTGCAGTGTAGAATTACCCAGTCACACAGAATTTCATGTGGTTACTCATATATAGTTCTCATCAGAGCCAGTTGAGAGCAGCAATGTCTGCATTTTTCAGATGGAAAAATTAAGAGAGTTAATAATCGGTAGAGCTGGGAGTTAGAACCCAAGTCTCTTGACTAAATTTGTTGCCTTTTCTATTGCCTTCCTAAAGAAGGACTTCCCATTTTTACTTTCTTCTTTGTACTTTTCAGATTTTTTTTTACAATGAGCATAAATAATTTTTACAAAAAGGATATAACTATTTTCAAAAGACAAATATAAATTTAAAAAACAGTAGACAACTAGATGAGTCTCCCAAGAGCTTCTTACCTTTATGAGATGAAATGTCCACACATGCATAGTTTGACAGCATATGGCCACATATGATTAGGAATGTGAGTGAGCGGGGCTGACATCCGGGAGGGCCCCAGTGGGCTGGGATTTTGTGGTAGAGGGAAGGCAGGCTCCTAAATTGGACTTGAAGTGGAACCAGGAGTGTAAGAATCCCACAGCAGGGAGAGGCTCTAAGAAGGGTTGAGAGGGAGGGAGGGTGGGCCTTTTTGACTGACTCTCATAGAGCCTGGCGGTCTGAGAAACAAGTGGAGGGTCTGGGGAGCAGATGAGCAGGCAGCAGGAGGCGCCTAGCCCCACGGGGCCCATAGCAGATGCCAGGTTCCCGCACACTCATTGAATGAGCAACCTCTCCTGGGAGCAGGTGGCTGCAGTCCGAGAAGGGATGTCCTGGATTGTTCCTGTGCCGCTGCTGTCCCTCCTCACGGCAAAACAGCTGGAGCAAATGGTGTGTGGGATGCCCGAGATCTCTGTGGAAGTCTTAAAGAAAGTGGTGCGGTACCGTGAGGTGGATGAGCAGCATCAGCTGGTGCAGTGGTTCTGGCATACGCTGGAAGAGTTCTCCAATGAAGAGCGGGTGCTTTTCATGAGGTTTGTGTCGGGAAGATCTCGGCTACCAGCCAACACTGCTGACATTTCTCAGAGATTTCAAATCATGAAGGTTGATAGGGTAAGTAAGCTATTCTTTCTTTCTTTGTCATGTCTGCCTTATTGCTTCATTGTTGTTGAGACAGGGTCTCATTCTGTAGCCCAGGCTGGAGCACAGTGGCGTGATTTCAGCTCACTGCAACCTCCACTTCCTAGGTTCAAGCAGTTCTGCCTCAGCCTCCCGAATAGCTGGGACTACAAGTGCGCGCCACCACGCCTGGCTAATATTTTTGTATATTTTGGCAGAGACAGGGTTTCACCATGTTGGCCAGGCTGGTCTTGAACTCCTGACCTCGGGAGATCTGCCCACCTCGGCCTCCCAAAGTACTAGGATTACAGGCCTGAGCCAACATGCCTGGCCCTCTGCCCCTGGTTGCTTTTATGTTGGGGAAACCAAACTATGACCTTCAAGTAGGCCTGCCGATTCATGCTTAATACTTGGAATTTCCATATTAATGAGAAAATCAAGCAATAAAATTTGTTTAGAAATATCATTTAGCTTCAGTGGGAAGAGTCCTAAGTGGATGTAGAGAGCATACTACAACCAGCAACCTTCCCTAAATCTTCCAGCATCTTCCTGAGTTAAAGCTGAACTTGGCACAGGGATCATCATACTGCCTGTTCCTGCGCTGAGCTATGGCCTTGTTTGTTTTCATGAAGATATTAACCATTAACTGGTGGGTGTGTGCCCCAGAAGGAACCCAAAGATGCGAGGAGCAGCGATAACAGTCTGTGCCCGCTTGTGTGGCATGCATTGTGGGGCAGGCAGGGCTGCATCTCTGCCATCTAAAGGCCCCAGCTGCAGAGCCCCAGCCCAGCTGCCATTTTGACAGATGGCTTAGGAATAAGAGGGCTTAGAGTCTGAAAAGCACACTGCTGCCAGAGTCATCTTTCTTAAGCACCCATCTGACCATGTCATTCTCCTTCTTTTAGACCTTTCAGAGGCCCCCTATGTTGACTCCGAAATAAATGCCAATGACCTTAGCTGCCTTAAACACTTCCACAGTCTGGCCTCTGCCCCACTTTCTGATGTCACATCTTGATACTTCTCATGTTCTGGTCACAATGGGCTGCTTGCCTTTCTCCCCAGTAGACCAGGATGTTTTTAAAACTCTGTGCTTTTATGTAACCTGTTCCCTCTGCTTTAGTAAGTCCTCCTTCGCACCCCTTTCCTTCTATCTCTGGCAAGCACTTACTCATCCTATAAGCCCAATGCCAGTCAACTCCTCCAGGAACCCCTCCTAGATGCTTTCCAGGAGTGCCCCTACCATTGCTGAAGGCAGACCTAGCCAGACTCCTTCTCTCCACCTCCTGAACACTGGGTACAGCCCTCAAACCCAGAACTTACTGCATTCAGTTAGGAGTGCCTCTCCTCCCTCTGTCTCCACCCCCACTCTTCACAAGCCCCCTCTTCCATATGAGCTGGGCAATTCTCTGAGCAGGGCCCATGATGTTTGTTCAGAAAACAGTAAGGGAAGTGGGGCCTCTTCACACACAGGCCCTTCCTGCCAGTTTAAGTGTCTGGCTTTCTGGTGTTTTTCCAGTAGCTACTCTTGGAAGTTGCTGTAGCCAAAGCTACTCCTCCCTGTGCTGCCTCCTGAGGCAGCAGGCCGCTGCTCTGCTCCTGGGCTAGGCTTGCTGGAGAAGCCACGTGCAGGAAGGGTTATAAAAAGCCTTTCCATAAATTTTCTGCATGACTTGCCAAGAACTGTAAATTGTAAATCTGTTTTCTTGCTTCAGAGAGAAGTAGGGAGGAGGAAATGGCTCCTTTCTATTCAGCTCTGGAAACAACCCTTGCCTTTTATCTGTCCTGGGCTACCCCTGCCGTTTTAGGAGGCCTCAGGGTTGTCAGCCTCAGCAACTGACTACTGTGGTCATTTCCTCTGTGGCTTTTAGATCTTGTCTACAGTACTCACATTTAGGTCATCAGAGCCACCTAGTGGCACCTCCCTTCCTTACTGCTTTCAGTTTTTCTGCGTTGAGCTCTATGTCATCCCTGGCTCTGGTGCATTTGGGCTACTGGGCCGTCCGCCTCCCCTAGCAGGACACGCGGCTCACCTAGGCGTGGGCTCTGTGGAGGAGGGCTGCTGTCAAGAGGATGTTGAGTGAGGGAAGACAGGTTCTTTTTTTTTTTTTTTTTAAGCGAACCTTTTAAAAATGTATAAAAACAGTATAATGTCATTACTTTTATTACGAATTGTTTGGAAAATAGTTGTATTTGCAAGGAGGGATAAGGAACATATATAATCCTGTCTCTCCAGTAGTAGCTATTTTTACCTTTGTGAAATTCCTCGTAGTCTTTGCCTCAATTGTACAATTTTTTACATGATGTATGTAGAATTTTTTCTGCCTTTTTTTAACCTCCTAATGTATCCTGAACACCTGTTTTGCTGCCAGCCATAATTATTTTAAAGGATGCATCACCATCAGTTAAATGGACGGACTGGGGTTTAATTGACTGCCCTTCCTTACGTGAGCTGTGTGAGGCGGCCAGGACGCCGCAGAGGAGGCAGAATGCACATGAGGGAGAGGAGAAGGGGCAAAGAGGCTCCCAGAGCCGGCTGCGCCTCACAGTTGTTCTTTCCATTCTGCCTGCTCTGTTGGGGGATTCCTGCAGCTGGCTTCCAGTCTGTACCCTCTTGATGGATGGGTACGAACGACAGGTGCCTTCTTACTACACTCTCATCCTGTGCCAGGCGCTGTGTGTAGTGTATTCTCTCAAGCAATCCTGCCAGTCAGAGCTTCTCCTCGCTTTACATACACAGACACTGGAGGAGGTGAGGAGAGGAAGGAACATTTTCACCCAGAGCCTTGAGGGCCACGGAGCAGTAGGGCCTTGGCTCATTCGATCTGGCCCAGTCTCTGTGTCCACTTGACTTAACCATGTGGCCATGTTAATTCCATCTTGAAGGCAGGGAGAGGTCATGGGCAGCCCCACTCCCCCTTATGGCACTCTCATGTCCCCAGTCACAGCTCTGGGTCTCTCTCCACAGCCTTACGACAGTCTGCCTACCTCACAGACCTGCTTCTTCCAGCTGAGGCTGCCCCCGTACTCCAGCCAGCTGGTCATGGCCGAGCGCCTGCGCTATGCCATCAACAACTGCCGCTCGATCGACATGGACAACTACATGCTCTCAAGAAATGTGGACAACGCCGAGGGCTCCGACACTGACTACTGACCGCGTGGGTGCTCTCACCCTCCCTTCTGTCCCTCAATAATGCTCACTTCTGATTTGATGTTGATATACTTTTATGGTAACTACGTAGATGTTTTAGGAACATAAACCAACATTATAAAGAGTGGCCACATTTAGTTATTCTAAATGTAACAAAGAAATTAGATGTTTTTATTTTTCTGTGATTGTACAAAAACAACAAAAACAAAGTGCTCTCAGTCAGGTTTTTCCCTCCATATTTTTGGTCACTTTTGATAAGTTTGCATGAAACCATTTTGGTGCATTTTTAGTTGGGAATGGTACCTTTTTGTAAACCCACCCAGTGAACATGAAATTGTACATTGTGTATAATTGTTCATTAGAAAGGACAGTTTTACATGAATATTCATATATTTATTTTGTTTTAATTTGAATTGCCTGTTCAGGGTTCCTTATGCAGAGAAATAAAGCAGATTCAGGAACTGGAGCATGGCTGTTGGTATTGCTTCCTGCGGAGCTTCTGACTGGGGGCTACCATTGAGGCAGACATGAGCCCGGAACACAATGAGCTTCCAGGCTGGTCTTGCTCTCACGGCTTTTTGACCCATTCAGAAACATTCCTTTACATTGAGGGTGGGCTTTACTTGGAAATAACATAGCAGGGAACCATGTGGTTCTAGGAGACCCCTCTGGGTTGGAAGCCCCTATTTTCCATTGTTCTTCTGTCATCCTGGGTCTCTCTCACTTTGTTCCCTCAGCTGCTCCGCCCCTCTCAGCACCACCCGTCCTTCTCTGGACAGCCCCAGCTACCTAATGTGGAGGGCGACTCTACCAGACAAGGAGGAAGGGGACCACAGTAATGTCGTCTGGCCCTTCCTGTGAAGAACCTACAAAGACAAAATGAGCACGTGATGGAATTAAAGAACAGGGCAGTTTACAACATGTCTCTGTGGGGAGGGCAGCCAAGGGGAAGGTGTTACAGAAAGGCCAGCTACCGCTAACAGGCTCTTAAGCATGTATCAATGAGTGAATGAGTGGGTAAATGTGTGAATTAGCGTGAGAACTGATGAGTGGCTTTCACATCCTTGAATGATGGAATTGTGCAGAGGGCTGGGGAAGGGGTTACATTCTTGGTGCTTAAACTCAGCCAGCCCCTGCGGGCCCTCAGTGCTGTGTGTGTGTTCAGCAGCATCAGGGTGAGCGTGTGTGAGCATGTGTTTCTGGGGGAAGGGGCCGTCTTGAGAGCAGCTGGGAGGGCTCTGGCTTCTTGGAGTGTGTGCAGGAAGACGGGCAGGCCCGTGGACAGCGTGTCTCCCTCACCTACAGCAAGTTCATGCCACAAGCTGCTTGCACTGTACTTCGTGGACAGGGTCTTTGCCAACAACGTGCTCAAATGACGTGCCAGCCAGCCAGCCCTCTGCAGGCAGTTATTTTTTTCCACAAGGAAGATAGAAGGTGTATATTTTCAAAGAGAAATAGAAAAATAAGGTTTTGCCAGCTAAGATAATGTGGTAAATGGATCTTTCCTAGTGAGGATATCTAAATATTTAGAATGGTGACATCTTTGTTTTATTGAAAAAAAGCTTCAGCTAGAATTGGGTCTCAGGGAGGGACTGCAGCTTTTGGGGGAACCCCCGGAGGTCTGGGTAAAGATGGGCCTTTAATACCGATCTAAGAGCGTAGTCAGTAGCATCGTCGAAGGGCTCTGGGCTTGAAGCCCTCCTGCTGGGGGTGGGAAGGTCCTGCCTGGGCCTCTGGACCAGGAGAGAATTTCTCTAAGAAAAGAAAGGCACCTGTGCTGCCAAGATCCTGGACGAAGCCCGGAGAGGCCTCTTAGGGTCTTCTGAGCCACTTCCCACGTCCCTCTTGCTGAGGTGGGCTAAGGACATGCAGAGCAAAGGATATATCTGCAGTCTCTAAATTCAAAATAATGGCTCACCCTGTGCCGCTGCCACAGTTTGCTCTGGACTGAGGGGCAGGAGCACCCCCAGAAGACCGGCACACATGCTTGCAGGTCCTGGGCTCAGGACTAACAGACAGCTGCTCAAGTTTGACCCTGTGAGGGGAATCTGCACAGTGCCATGGTTTTACAACGCACACTGTTTCTTTGCCAGAAACCTGTTATTTCCTCATTGTCTTGACTTTTTTCATTTTTGCTAGTTGCCCAGGCTGGTCTGGAACTCCTGGCCTCAAGCAGTCCTTCCACCTTGACCTCCCAAAGTGCTGGGATTATAGGCGTGAGCCACTGCGCCTGGCCTCTCTTGACTTTTTGAAAATTCTGGAAGAGGGGGAAGCACAAGTCTCTGATCTGAGGAGTTGAAGTCGGCCTGGTCAGGCGCTTCCCTTGGTTCACTTTCAGCTCTTACAGAGGCTTAGGCAGTTGTTTGCTGGCCTCATTCACTTAACAAATACTTGGCAGTTTTTATGACCCTTAAGCAGTCTCAAGAAAACTTTGACCATCAGTTTTTAAAATTTAAGATTTCTGGCCAGGCGCGGTGGCTCACGCCTGTCATCGCAGCACTTTGGGAGGCCGAGACGGCCGGATCACGAGGTCAGGACATCGAGACCATCCTGGCTAACACGGTGAAACCCCGTCTCTACTAAAAATACAAAAAATTAGCCGGGCGGGGTGGTGGGCGCCTGTAGTCCCAGCTACTCGGGAGACTGAGGCAGGAGAATGCCGTGAACCCGGGAGGCAGAGCTTGCAGTGAGCCAAGATCGCACCACTGCACTCCAGCCTGGGCGACAGAGCGAGACTCTGTCTCAAAAAATAAAATAAAATTTAAGATTTCTCCTGGCATCCTTCAAAGTACGGCTTTGTTCTGGGCCTCCTAGCTTTGTGGCCTTTGCCCAGGACTCCTGGCCGGATGAAGCCTACATCTGGTGAGTTTGGTTTTTAGCCAAAAGCAGATCTTGGGCATTGAATCCTAGAGCTGGAGGGAAAGTCTCTAAGGGGCCAGATGATCTCTGCCTCCATAAACCAGGAATCCAAGGTCAGGAGAGGGAAAGCTGGGTCATAGGTGTGCCCTGGCTAGAACTGGCAGCCTTTGCGTCCTGTCAGCGTGCCGTGGTAGAGCCAGGGGGCTCAGTCACTTCCCCTCCAAACACTCATCCTGTGCAGAAACAGGCCAGTGTGTCCCTGCAAGACAAGCCTCAGAGCACCACCTCCTGCCAGCAGCCTGCTGCCTCCTGGGAGGGATCTGGAACCCTTGACCTAACAGCGTGTGGCCCTGGTCTCTCTGCCGGCACTGGGGCCCCTGTGCAGACCAGCAATGTGGTCACAGGTCAGCCTCCAGCCAGGGAGCAGTATCCTGCCCCAGTGGTGAGGTTCTTCCTGTTCTCTCCCACCACCTTATCCTACATGTGACCATTCGCTGCCTTGGCCAAACCTTAGAAAGAGCATTCCAGGAGTTGAGGGAGAGGCTGTGAGGGCACAGAAAATCCCAAGCCATTTCTGGGTGGCTCAGGAATACAATCAGGCTCCCATCAGCCCTGGCTCACCCCTTCCCTGGAAATGCCTAGGGCTTCTTGACCTTTGCCTTTGCTGTGCCATGCCTGCCAATGGGAATATCCTCCTTACGGTTGGAACCTGTGGGAGCTGGCGTCAGCCCACAGGCCCAACTCAAAAGCTCCGACTGCCACAAAGGGTGCCTGGCTTGCTTCTTCCCAGTGCCTGGCATTTGTGCGTTGTACCAGGCACTCAGCTTTTCTAGCCCCCCAAGGATATGAGGATACCTCCCTCTATCCCTGTCTTCCAGGCATTGCACATTTAGACATAATCTCATAACAATGTCACAGAGAGGGTAATGGTCCCATTTTACAAATAAACTGAGGCTCAGAGATGTCATATCTTGTCAAAAGCTATGGATGGCAAAGCTTGGAGATCACTCAAGAACCCCCTTCAACCTCAGCTGCATGTCTCCCAACTAGGGCTGAGTCCCTCCAGGTAGGGCCTGGCCCAGCCCATGGCCAATACCCAGTAAATGCTTGTGAGATGAATTAGTTGGTGGATTAAGCCTGCAGGGGGCCCTTATCTCTATGCTAACCTGAGTTTGAAAGGGTTGTTTTTACTTTTTAATTTAGTGGGGAAGGGGCGCAGAGATTCCATGCCCTCCCTGGACATACCACCCTCCCTCCAGGAGCCTCCATGCATGTAGCTATCTGGAAGCTCCAAAAGTGGTTTTGTGATTAAGTGAGGTATTGCGCTCTGTTAAGTGCTTTGCTCATGCCTGGTGGTGGTGAACAGTGTCTGTTAGAAGGCAGAGTGGAGACCCATGTGTCTCCATCAGTGCCCGCCCTCTGGGGGCACCTAAAATGACCCTTCGCTTCAGAACCCAAAGCTCCTCTGGCTAAGGTGGGGGCCAATTTGGGTCCCTAGAAACAGCACTGGACACAGCAGCACTGCTTGAGTTCTGTGATCACTATGCCTTGGGATGCAGGGGAGTTACTAGGCATTGGAGGGTTAACCGGGAACTTAACCCTGTCTACAAAAGAGCTTCCATGGGAAAGGGGGGTCACCGGGGAATGCAGGTTGCCCCATTCTAGCTCAACCTACAGTGACCTCTGCTTTACATAATCATAATCCTTACAAACACCCCAAAAGCAAGGTTCCCTTGTTATCCTTAGTACTCAGATCAGAAAACTGAGGTTTGCAGAGGGCCAACCTGTCCTTGGTCACAGGGCTAGAAAGTGAGGGACATGGGATGGAAACCCAGATCCATTAGATCCTGAAGCCAGGATCCTGTTGTTCTCCAGGCTAAGCCACCAATTTAGGACAAATAGAACATGCTGGGAATTGGGGCTTATTGGAGATGATGAAAACAAAGGCCTGAGGTTTAAGTGGCTCTGTTGTAGACAAACATTGAACCCCCCGGAAGCCTGAGCTTTCTTTCAACAGTGTTCAGAGTAATGGGAGAAAAATTAATTCCCAACAAGGCCTCTCCAAGTGCAAGGCAATGGTGGGCAAACCGGGAAATCACCAAAAGGCAGCCTGGGTCTCACAGGCTAGTAGCAGGGTCCTGCCACTCCACCGCAGCTGGTGTGTGTGACACAGCTGGCTCTCCTGACATAGGGATTAGAAGGGATTATGCTGGGCCAGGGCTTATTGTGGCTACCCTGTTTCTGGAGTAAGCACTGCCCCAGCCAGGAGCCCTTTGGCAGTCCGCAGAGGGGCTGGGGTGGGACAGGGTGCTGCTTGCCTGTCCACATGTTCTGCCTGGAACAAAATCCAGGGCCTCTGGGACTTCACCTGACTCTCATCTGTACATGGGGCCCTGGTTCCTTCTGGGGGTACATTGGGCTGAGGGGGAACGTTCATCTCTTGTTTCATCCTCACATTAATCTGTCCATCCACTGCTACCCCCATCCCTTACCATAACCAAAGCAGGTGCAGATGTTTGAATTAACAAGAGCAAAGTCTGATAACAAAAAGCAAATTACCCAAAACTAGTAAAGGGGGAAATAGCCAGATTACTATTTAAAGTAACTGCTTCAGTTTTTAGTGGGGAAAGCAATTTTGGGGGGTTTTAAAAGGGAAGACTTGATAAGGAAGGCATGCAAGAACTGGGCTGAGTATGATGTCTGTGTGTTTTGTCCTGGTGGCTAGCTTGGGTTTCAGTCCACCTGGACTTCGGATTGACATTATTTTAACAATGGCCAGGTTGTTAATTAGCCATTTTGAAGTAATTTTTGGAGGTTTGCAGCTGGGTCTCCAGACTTGGTCTGTCTCAAGACTAGCCCCTGAAACTTCTAAGACATCACACAATTAAATAGTAGCATACAGTTAGATAAATGAAAAGGGAGCATATACAGTGAGAAAGGGGAGGGATGTGGAGTCGATTTTAAGGCTAAGGAGAAAGGCTTTTGAGTTGCCTCAAGGTTACATTTTGAAACCCAAGAGAATGGGGAAAAAAAGGTTTAAAATGCATGAAGTTAAGCTGCGGGCTACATTGCTTCTCTGATATCTGCTACTCAGCTTCCCTGCTCGTTCACTCTGCACCAGCCACTCTGACCTCCTTGCTGTTCCCCTAACACATGAGCCGTGCCTGTAGTCCGCGGCCTCTGCACTGACTGTTCCTCTGCTAGGAGTGTCTTGGCCCCCTGGCTCACTTCATACCTTCAAATGTCATCTTCTCAGTGAGGCTTACATTGGTCAACCCTTTCTCAGAGGCTTCACTCCACCTCCCAATCTCTTGCCAGCAATCCCTAATAGCCCTTGTTACAGCCTGCACTTTTTTCCAAATACTTACTACCTTCTTTTTTTTTTTTTGAGAGGGAGTCTCACTGTGTCGCCCAGGCTGGAGTGCAGTGGCGCGATCTCGGCTCACTGCAAGCTCTGCCTCCCGGGTTCACGCCATTCTCCTGCCCCAACCTCCCGAGTAGCTGGGACTACAGGCGCCCGCCACCACGCCCGGCTAATTTTTTGTATTTTTTTAGTAGAGACGGGGTTTCACCGTGTTAGCCAGGATGGTCTCAATCTCCTGACTTCGTGATCCGCCCGTCTCGGCCTCCCAAAGTGCTGGGATTACAGGCGTTGAGCAACCGCATCCGGCCCTTTCTACCTTCGTATATACCAGTTACCTGTTGTCTCTTCCCCCACTAGAAGGTAAGCTTCATGAGAACAGAAGTTGTCTTTTTCCTTGCTGTTTCCCTATTTAAGCAATGAATTCAGGAACCTGTGAGTAGGGATCAAGCTCCTCTTTCACACAAAGAAACACCTGGCCTTGGATGGGTGAAGGGCTTTATCGCAGCTGGCGCTGGGTGGAGCCGGAGTGTGAGCAGCGCCCATAGTGCTCCTCGCCTCTTCCACCCACCCAGAATCCTCCCCAGTGACCCAGGACCAGGCGGCTGCGGAGGGGCCGAGAGCCTTCACTAAATGTGACACATCAGTGACTACAGCCCTGAAATTGAAATTGGAAGCCCAGGCTTGTGTTCACGTCCAGCAAATCCAACAGGTGAAAAATCTAGCTTGTCATCAGCTTATAATAGTCTCATTATCAAAAGCTTAGCCAGGGCTGCTGATTTTGCTTTTAAATGTTTGAGGCTTTTTTTTTTCTTCCAAATCATTTATTCTTCTCTTATGATATGAGAACAGTAGAAAATATGGATAACTATGCAGTTTATGTAAGCATTCAACAATTGGGAGCGAATTTTCTACAATCGCGAGTGCGGTCACTCCGGCAGCGCATCCGCCCCAAGAAAGGTGGGCAGGCAGCCGCGCGTGCGGGCAAAACCTCAAAGAGGAGCGGCTCGGTGGCTCTTTCTGCCCCTGCTTCCCCTCCTCCTGCTTTACCGAGATCACTACCGGGGGCCCTGGAGACGGCGGTCCCCAGGGCACTCCGGGAGCCGACCGAGCGCAAGCCCGCGAACTCCGAGTGGTCAAGTCCTCCCCACCGAGGTGATTTCGATTCAACCTCGATCGGAGTCCCCGAGGAAGGTGCAGGCGCCT